AATGACTCAGTCATCATGTCAAGATGACGGAGACCAAAGCTTGTGGTGTCTGCAGAAGCTTCAGTCAAACAAATAATGGCAGTTTTCATCTGATCAAGACTCTAGCTCTATCTCTTGACTATTGTACTGGTTTTGGCTAGAGTTAATTTTCTTCACAGTAGCTGGTATGAGGCTGTGTTTTGGATTTGTGCTGAAAACAGCGTTGATAACACAGGGATGTTTTCGTTACTGCTGAGCAGTGCTTACACAGAGCCAAGGCCTTTTCTGCTCCTCACACCACCCCGCCAGCGAGTGGGCTGGGGGTGCACAAGGAGCTGGGAGGAGACACAGCTGGGACAGCTGATCCCAACTGACCAAAGCGATATTCTGTACAATATGATGTCATGCTCAGCAATAAAAACTGGGGGAAGAAGGAGGAAGGAGAGACTTTTGGAGTTATGGTGGTTTTCTTCCAAGTAACTGCTATGTGTGATGGAGCCCTGCTTTCCTGGGGATGGCTGAACACCTGCCTGCCCATGGGAAGTGGGGAATGAATTCCTGATTTTGCTTTGCTTATTAAATTGTCTTTATCTCAACCCACAAGTTTTTGTGCTTTTACCCTTCTGATTTTGTCCCCCATCTTGCTGGGGAGGGAGTGAGCAAGCAGCTGTGTGGGGCTGAGCTGCTGGTTGGAGTTAAACCACAACAACTATAGATCAGAGGCTGCCAGGACAAACTGAAGAGCAATGCGTGGATTACAAAAGCATAGAGATGATAGCATCTGATTGATGAAAAGGCTGCTCAGTTCTCCTTCATTTTTTAATTCTTGAAAGGTACCAGGCAGAATTTATTATCTTCATGGCCCCATCTCTATATTAATCCCTGTCAAGAAGAAACTTTCTATTATATCCTATGCTAACACCAAAATACCAGAAAAAAAGACAGCAAGTTCTGTATGGGAGAATCCACATAAGGTACATTTGCTGAAAGATCAATAATATGCAAAACTGAGGAAAAAAACTGCCCCCTTGTTATCTCTTTAAGTGCAACAGAGAACATAAAAAAGTGATAAGGGTACCTGGGAGGGATCATCCAGCTAAACTGATTTCTGTTTTCTGCAGCAGAAGACAACTATGTAGTAGGTGTTTTGGATTCTTGTGAACTAGACACCTACTCCTTATGTCAGCACTCACCATGAACTACAAAATTGTAATGAAAACTTTAAAGCAGGTTACATTTTGTAGTAAAAGGTCAAAATGCACAGCTATAATGTATCACAGGGAGACAGCTGGGAAAACATGAGCCCCTGGCCTGTATCTCAGGCCCCTGGAAGAAATTTGCATATGAGATCATATCTTTAAAGAGTTTATTTGTTATCCCCAGATTTGCATCTTACAGTTTTGACCAGAAGCATGTGCAAATTAAAAGCATCCAGTTGTGTCTCTGTGTGTATGCACCCATATTCGTACGTGCAAATATTTTAGAGAGTGCAAGACCTCTTGTTTTTAAATCATCACTGATAATCTAGCAGTTGTTTATATTTAAATGAATAATGTTGCTAACCAGAAGGTTCTGCCTTCTGGAGCCCAGTAATTTTTTTCTGCATTAGGAACTCTCTGTAAATGATTAAGACTCTCTGTGGAAATGAAACTAGGAGAGCCAAGCGCGTGAGGTGCAGGAAGGAAAGCAAGGAACTCGCGTACAGCATCCCTCTCCTGCAGGAACAGCAGACTGGAAGGGCCTTTGGGCTGCCCATTCCCCTACAATAAAATCAAGTAATTCTTTTAACAGATGGATCAGACTTCATTCAAAATGCAGTCAGATCTTTTCTTTTTCCCCTCCGCTGTTGTTACTCATGTTAGAAGCTGTTCTGAAATGGCACTGGCTTGGAAGTGTCCTCATTTCCAGCCTACGTTTACCCCTGGCCTGCACGTGTGACACCAGGGTTCAACAACTGAGCAGGTTCACTTGGGTTGTGATATGGAGGAGCGTTTTCTGTGCACATCAAAGGAAGTGTTAGTTATAGCTAACAGAGGATTAATTGAGACAGGATGGGAAACAAGCCTGCCTTTGTTGGAAAGTGATGCTGGAGAGGTGCGTGCTGGAGGAGGCATGTCATTCCTCTCACGAGCTCCTCTCAGCTGATAAAGGGAGATTTTTATATAAAAGTTCTTTTTAGGATTTGGTAAATAATGTATTAAGCTGGCTACACTTCTGTCAGGATTTTGTGTATCTGATTTAAATGGAATCAGAAACAGCTCATTTGTACTCCAGCAAGACTTGTACTACAATAGCAAAGAGGGAATGAGCTAGCTATGCTTGGTTTGGAGGCGTGTGTGTGTACACACAGAGCGATCGATCTCTCCAGTGGTGCTCTCTGTGCCTTGTCCTGCAACCTGATGTAACACTTAACAGCACTCTTTACTCAGTTGTTCAGATAACTCCCTTTTGAGCTTGCTCTCGAGGCAGAGCTAGCTCCATCTCGCAGGACATGAACTGTTACACTCCAGCTCCCCGTGACCTCGTGTCCCCTCCTTGGCTCTCGATTTAGGGGTCCAGGGAGCCACATGAAGCAGGGAGAGGAGCAGCACAACCTCTCAATGTGAGCCAGGCTGTAGCTTCTGGGAATTAATGCACGTAGGCTTTGAGTGGTCTGGCTTGAACATTCCTTTGTACACCAGGACTTTGACAGGGTCAAACATGAATATCCAGAAAGCCTGCTCCTGGGCAGCAGTAGAGGAGTATCCCTGAGCACACTGCCTGTTTTGTGGGAGAAGCTGGTCAGGCAGTGCTGGCTTACCTCCTTTCTCCCCCCGAGGGACCTGGAAACTAGCAAAAGTTTATAATCCTATTCTTGCTTTTCTGGGTATGTCATTTCTATAGTTGCCATGGAGATGTTATGTGATGGTCCTTGAGAAAATGTTGAAATTTTTAGAGCCTCTGTTATACAGTCATTGGAGAGGTTTTTATTTGCAGTCTAACAGGCAATATTAAAAACTTGAAATGTCTTTGATTATGCAGCAAAGTATTCCAGGCTATTCACCTGAGGAAAAATCTGTTCTGCCCCTTCCCCATTCTTCCCCATTGATTTGTTTCCTGAGAATGAGAAATTGAAATTTAGAAGTTGGGCGGTTCGGTCGTAACTCTTCAAAGAGAGTTACCACTCATAATGCTTGTTAACTTTATAGTGAATGGATATATTTGTATATAACCTTAATGAGCATATCAAAAGTTACTTTAATATATTTCACAATTCATATTCTTCCTCCCTGTTTGTTATCTATTATGGACATTAATTAATCAGACTGATGAGTATAAATAAGATCTCATTAAAATGATTAAAGCATGGAGATGAATAGAAGGGTCCCACTTCTGTAGTTGCTTTATCCTCTCAAGTTCCCATACCTTTTGGTAACTTATCAGGCTCTCCTTCCAGCCTTTACAGATTGTGTCCTTTCTGGAAGAAGATACATTTTAAATTTGTGAGATAATGAAACGTAAAACCTAGTAAAGGCAAGGGTACTGTAATATTCATGAGATGGGAGCTTTATCTACTGTGGTCTGGAATCCAGCCTAGCTACCTGTGTAAAACCTACAAATGTCTTGCCTCTTCTCAAATTTATCTTGACTTAGTTACCAAGTTCTCCTCTCTTCTTCTGATCCTAACAAAAGTGGTGTCAAATGTTTTAATTCTCTCCTTCTTGCAAATCGAACAATGTCCTTTTCCTTTTATGTCCTCTTATGTATTTTCATTACATGTTCCAACACTGTTAATTGGCCTTTTACTCTTATTTCAGGTGTCCTTCAGTTCTTCATACGGGCCTGAACCCATATATGAGTATACAGTTTGCACTATGAAAACCATTGAAACAAGGACCTTGTTTTCTTCATACATCTGTAGAGCACTGAGTACAGCCAAAGCTCTGTGAATAATAACAACTAAATGATAAGCCTCTCCTAATTCAACATGGGTAGCTCTTTGAAAAATATGTTTTTTGTTAAGGACTCTGAATTCCCCATGCTTCAGAGTTAACTCAGAATTGGAAGTTTAGGATGCATTTGTGTCCCCACTCTTTTTTTTCCCACAAGATTCATTGAGATCTGACAAAATCCTAATTACTGGAAAGGATTTGTAGTTTTTTAAGCAGTATATGTCATTACATTTGTTGGGAACACCTTTAGATCACAAATAAATGCAGAAATGAAGAAAAATAAGAGGAACAGTTTAACTAGCCTTGATGAGTGAGCTGACAACATACAATTGAAAAGATCAGTTTAATTTATAGGCATAGAAAGTTTCCATAAATAGTGGTCATATATTTTTTAGTCAATGCAAATTAAGTTAATCTTTCTAAGTTTTCATTTCACAGGCCTGGCAACTGCAGTTTAATGCATATTAGGAAAACATACATGGTAATATGGGTAAATTGCATCTCACTCTATAACTGAGTCTCCAATGCAGATTTTAGTCTGCAAGGGATAAATTTATTAGAATTAATGCCAAAGACTTAGATTTCAGCCTGGTTTTCATTTGCCATAAACCCCTTGCTTTTCTTTGACAATAAAAAGAGACCTTGCATGTAAAATGCCCTTTTAAAACACTGCCAGAATGATGTGAAAAGGCGTTAGGGTAAATAAGCATCAGGTCCTGCATGAGTGCTTGAAGCAGGACCATACGGAGCAATATGCCATATTGCCACTCATTTCTTTTAAACAGCAATATGTTGCTGCTCCACTTGGCAAATGGACACCTCCTGACCTCCTTCAAATCTCCCTTCCCCACGCCTGGGCTTGTGCTAGAGCCTTACGCAGCTGGGATGGGGGATGCCAGGCGACTGCTGAAGGTGCCTTGCTTGAGACGAATTTGCCTCTCTGCCCAAACTCATTCCCCCCAGCAGCCCCCTCTACATCACGTCCCCTTGGCCATCATCACCATGGGCAAACCCATGTGGGGCCACCATTTTAAAACCCTTGATGTGTCTTGTGAATTTTAATCTGCCTTTGGTGTTAAACATTGGCAGGTGCCTTATAAAGAACATAATGCTAATGGGGTATATTTTGGAAGGGTTATTTCAAACCTGGAGCAATGCCTTGCCAGCCTCACAAATAGTTGGTTTAATGCAAACAAGGCAGTGAGGGAATGGGGGGCCAGAGGAAGGCATTCTTCAAGCCCGCTTTCCCACCGAGGAAAATGTTGGCAGATCTACAGCCTCAGTCCATGGTCTGTGTGTTCAGGCACTATCTGGAAAGGAATGCAGAGCCAGCAAGTGACTTTCATGGCTTGTTCCAAACCATATTAAGGTGAAGGAATTCAAATTTCTGTTGTGTTTTTTTTTACTTTCTGGAAAACTTAAAGGCAGGATGTTTCTGTGACAAGCCTCATGCATTTGGAAGCACTGGAAGAATGCATCAAAAGTTTGAAATCTGGGGTCTGACAAAGTGTCCTGTACATTCAGACAGATGTTTTGGTGATGAAGGGACTTGCATTTTATGCCAACAGTTTTGAATATTCAGGGCTTTTTCCTGCAGAAGTCCTTAGTTGACTAAAGTAGCACCATAGCTCTGAAGTTGCGTCTGCAACTGAATTCCCTCATGGAGGTTTGTCTCAAGACTTGTGTGTGGGAAGCCCTGCAGTACTGTGGATGATATCACGACCGGATATCACAACTGGAAACTCTGTGTTCAGAGAGTATCATGTTTATTACTTATAAAACTGGCTGTTCCACCAGTTCTCTAACCTCCAAAGGATGTTGAATGGCAGACACAGCACAAATAATGAAGCCTTTTACATGACAAGATGGGAACAGTGGCCTTCAGGGCAATACAGCAACCATTCTAGTTTGATAGGGTGATCTATCTTCTCTTGCAGGTCATCTTTCATTCATGCATGGTTTTACTAGCCTGAGATATAGTATCCTATTTTTTTCTCTCCTGCTTTGAGCGCTGCTGTATATGATAGCTCTTGTGCATTAGAAATTGCCTGCTGATTTAAGATGCACTCTGATTTGTAAAGTTTGCAATCCAATTTTCCTCTTTACTGCATTTTTGTTCCCTGTTGTTTTCTTTAATTTTGACATGTCTGAGTATGAACCTGTACGAGACAGCTTTGCCATGCTATAGCTGCATGGCGTTACTGTACTTTCATCTCATCTCCCTGAATGGATCCATGTGATATTTGACCTTAGGGCATCGTACTCTGCTTTTAATCTTTAGAGGTCTGTCCAGCCCTGGGTTTCGAAGTATGGTGCTATCACCATATTGAACAGAGCTCATTAACACATGTCAGTCTGGAGCAGGCAGCGCAGTATATATGCCAACAGCAATGCTCAGGTGAAACATGTGGTCATTACGATAAAATGACCTGAGCAATGAGGGTAAGGTTTGAGCCCAGACTCCCATTACAAATTCACCTTGATCATACACATGCACTTTTTTTCCTTACGTGCAGACACAGGAGATTGCCTAAGGTGGGCACAAGGGAGTGTCACCTCAACAGCTTTGCATGTGTTTGTCAGGGCCCTGAAGGCACCCACAGCCCTGCCCATCCCTGCCCAGTCCAGGGCTCCTGCCCACACCCCAGGACGCCATTTCAGCCACCTGGGGCTGTCAGCCTCTGCTCCAGCAGCGCTGCAGCAGGGCCGGTCTCCAGCTCCCCACAGCCCTGCCCTGCCCGGCCATGGGTCCTGCGGAGCCGGGCCCAGCCGCAGGCCCATGTCCCAGCCCAACCTCAGCTGAAGGAAAGACTCATCTTGGTGTCTCACAGGGAAGTAGGGAGACAATGATCACACATGTCTCGGTATTTTCTAGAAAATGACGAGAAGACTGAGAAGATCCAAGTTTTTGACCTGTTTTCTGTTCCTGGCAGTTTCTGGAACCTGTAAGCTTAACTTTTGGGAGATGGTTCCTGTTCAGACACAGGGTGGTCATCATGTCAGAAATCTTGTGTGTCCCACAAAGGATATCTGAGCCAGGGTCATGGGTACCTGAAAAAGCAACTGCCGTGGTATGAAAGCAGTTGCTATTCTGGAGAGGACACCAGTGATGCAGGGCATTGGAAAACTTCCTGCTGGAGTCCCTGCCCATGCAGTGTGTAAAGCCATCAAAAGGGCAGTTCATTCACAGTCTCTGGAGGCAGCTACTCAGGTCATCATCAGTACCCATATGCAGATCTCATTTTGCACCATTTTTCATATGAGAGATGGAACACATAGCCTCATCCTCTGCCCACCAGCTGCATGCAAGTTTTACCTCCAGAGCTGGATGGAGACCCTCCTTTGGGCTGGCTTGAGACCAACCGTGTTTCCTCCCTGGGGTGCTGGTTGTCTCCTGAGTCCTGCACAGTGTCTGTGACCCCCATCTGAAAGCTGGGAGCAAGGAGCTGCAAGGATTTATCCAGAGATGCAGCTGTAAGGGTAGGATCAGCCACTGAAACGAAAAGAGCCACAGAGAGACTAGGTTCTCTGGTGGGAGTAGTGTAGATATATCACAATTACTTATGTGAAAGTAATAAAACAATGGGGTAAATGAGGTGGCGGTTTCTGTTTTCTGTTCCCTGCTGTCTTCCTTTTCTTAAAACCTTCATGACAAGACTGACAAGGCCACTTCTCCACCCCCTCACAAGACAGCACGTTTTCATTTAAAAAGAACAAGTCTTTGGGAGCAAGAAAACAATTTTGATTTAACTGCTGTTTAGCTGCTGCATCTGCAGGATGATGAGGGCAGTGCAATAATCCCCCGCGAAGTGGTCAAACTTTGTGCAAGATGTGGTTCCACCAGCATCAAAGCCTCAGGAAAGAAAACTCATCCCCTCTGCTCCTGCAAGGCCCTGGGTTGGGGCCGTTTGACAGCATTTCCCCAGTGTGTAAGGAGGCTGCAAGGCCGCTCGTGTCCCTGCAACAGTTCATGCCTGATACCAGCAGAGATGATTGTGCCGAGGTGTGCCAAGACATCTTGTCACACACTCCCCACTGCTCCCAGTGAGTGGTATTCCCAGAGCATGGAAAATGCACTGTGCCTGAGAGCCCAGGACACGCTGCTGGAGCATCCGCTGGAGGACATTGGGGTGTGGGGAGAGGATGCAAGACAGGAAGGACCTCCAGTGGCCAGGCACCAGAAGTTGCGGGCAAAACTCTTGAGTAATGCTTCTCATTGAATGCTTCTTGTACACAGGCTGTGGCACTGGTGCTGTAATACTTAGCACAGAGGGTGTGTGAGGAAAGGGAACCCTCTCACCTCCTGCATTCCCCTCTCTGCATCCCCTTGTACCCATTAGTCACATCCTGGTGACACCTGGCAGTCGGCCAAGCACTTCATCCAGAGCAATTCTGTTGTCTGCTTTGCCTTCTGAGTCTAAGCCACTACAGAGATGCATGGGCTGGAGACAGTTGGATTCAGCTGTGTCTCTTAAATAAGAATATTGTCATCCATTTGTAATAAGGCTGTTGTTTCTTCACACTTTTGGGGACGCTTTTTCCTAGCCTGCGAATTAATCTAGCCACAATTATAATCCCCCCTGTATTGTAATCTCCAAGGACTTGCTGGACCACATATTACTCTTTATAAATGTTAAGAGGCAACAGTCTCTGCTGCTGGTAAGCACTGCCTGTTTATAGGTGCCCAGGGACCTTAGAATCATAGACTCATAGAATCATTTAGGTTGGAAAAGACCTTTAAGATCATGGAGTCCTTGGAGAAGAGTCGTGAAAGCTGAGGCTGTGAGCACTGACCTGGCTGCTGCTTTACAGCTTGCAAGCAGTACTTATGCTGGGTTATGTTATCATGACCTTGTTTATACGAACTCACTGATAGTATGTTTGTCTTCTCTACAAGCTAATGTAGAGAATTACATTATATTACATCACAGCACCATACCAGTGACCTTGAATGGGTCTTGAATACACTTATGACAATGTACAAAGTGTTAAATTTTAGAAGCAGACAGGGAGGTCTACTGCATACCTGTTTGAGCTTGCTGAAATGGCATCTTTAAATGGCTGCTTTCCAAAATAATGAATCCTGCTTGAATGTTTTTAATTTCTCAGCTTCACAGAAAGTTTGCAAATCTTACTGAAAATTAGGCAGGCTGATTAGAAAAGAATTTGACGAAATAACACAATACATTAAAGAAACTGTCAGGAGACCTATGTTCTTGGCTGCCCTGTCAAATAGTGGATATGTTAACACGTCAGATAATTGTGTTCCAATATGAATGGTTTGACTGCTGTTGATTTTACTTCTGGATTATGTAATAAAACAGATCCTTTTTTTTTTGGAAAAGAATAATACATGTGTGTAGTGTTAAACTGAGACTTGTCTGGTTTTTTTTTTCTTTCATGAGATTTAAGAAGGTGTTCTACTAAAGGACAGCAAAACCACCTCCTGCACTGGGATGCCCTTTCTGTTCCCAGATGTTTACTATTTAAGCCCTAGTCAGCTGTGCAGAGATTTTTTTTTTTATCAGTTTACTCAGTGCAGCATGAACTCAATGACTGAAAAGTTCAATAAGTTGTTTCTGATTGGGTTACAATGTGCTATCAGAAAACCACCATTATATTGTTCTTCTTAAACTAATAAGTATTTTTGTATTTCTTTGTTTTGTGATCTTACAGACTCAGCTCTTGGGAGTTTTACTTGCTGCTGCTTCAAATTTTCTGATTAGTGTCTCTTTGAATATACAGGTATGAAATTATTTTTCTTTATTTGGAGTTGTAAGTAACTTATGTTACAATTTGTTTGTATTATGAAGTTCAAAATACAAATTTTGTCACATTTAATAAATATTCGCTGTCTTTAACTGTAGTTTAACAGTGTTCTGCTGTAGCTGTTGGCAGTATGATAGCTCCCAACCTGTTCTGCGCTGTGATTCCCATATGGGAACAGAATGAAAATTCATAACTCCTCCTCCTCCTTGTAATGTGCCATAAGGAAATACCAGCTGCGACCCACTTGTGGTCCCACTGGACATCATGTAAGCCTGTCTCAGAGTATCCAAATCTAGAATGGAATTGACCACAAGGTCTTAGGGGCTGCTTAATGGAGCAATTAATGTAATTAAATGCATAGAGGCATAAAGTTTTTTGCAATACTGGGCCTCAAAACAACTTTGGCCAATTTTGTTTTCCTTTTGCAATGAGGATGAAATAATATGAATAAATATTGTTTTAAAACATAAAAGCAAGGGGAGGTGATGACCTTATAACTATAGCAAAAGGTTGTAGGATGAGATTTATAAAATCCTTTCTGTATCAATAATTAGAAAACATAGTCAGTAAAAAGTTAAATAATTTGTTATATTCTATATCTTGCAGACTTCATGGTATTTTTAGGTCTTCTAACAAAAATTCTTAAAGTGCAAAGGACATGTATATGTGAATTGTCCAGAAAAAGTATTTTTGCTAGCTTGTATTTTATGAGTTGTATATGTCTCATATAAATCCACTTCTTGCTTTTTCTGTAAAGGATGAAACAGAAAGCTGTGGAATATGAAATCTTCTATTCATAATAACCCCTTTTAATAATGCTAGAAGGTTCTAAACAATTCCCTTCTATTTCAAGTATCTCTAGCTGGAGAATCCCATAGAAGGAAACCTGTTTAGCCAGAGATGGCGTGCAAGTTGAGGTGACTGCTGCCTCACCAATATGAGTTCTGACCCGTTGAAGGTGACAGTTCTAGGAGCTCCATTTTAATGGAAAAACTCTTGTTGGTGAAGTGGAAATTCAGTCTAGCCCATATAATGAGGTTGTTCAGACTTCGTATCTTTTGTCTGCTGAGGGGACTGAGTGCCAAAGTGGATGCTTTGCCAAGACACATACTGAGGTGTGCAGGTAGACTTCTATTGACTTGTAATCATTAACAGCATTTACTGGATTTGAACTATGTTCCAGCTTTTTTAATGCTGTTTGGGAAAATCCAATCACTCTGCACTGCCATTTGACAGACAATTTCAACTGAAATTTTTACTTATCCTCTAAAGTAGATTTTCCTCTATTTAGTAACAATATCTTATAAATATGAATAATGACTTTCCCTATGTCTCAATATTTGTTTTCACACTCCTATTAGATGAATAGGCCAAATTTTATTGTTCTGTCTCCCTTTCTCACCATGCAGTCAGTCATCTCTCCTCTCTTCCCTCTAACTAGTTGTTAGCTAAAGAACAGCCCACCATTTGCAATGTATGTCAGTTGAATTATAAATGACCTCCACCTAAATACCATCCACACATATTGCTATGCAAAGAAGGCAGACAGCTGGAGAATGAAGCTGTAGGGGAGCTGCTGAGCTCACCCTCCTGTGTGTGTTGCACATTTTTTCAATCACACTGTGCCCTCAAGAGTTATTCCTACAAGCATCTGGGGAGAAACCAGAGCGCAGGATTCAGTTAAGAACTTGTCCCATTTGGTTTTCAGCAGAAACTTGGATTCTTGATTTTACAATATTGTTTCATAGCCATTTCTCTTTGGGGCTTTTTTGTTTATTTATTTATAAAAATGAAACATGCAAAATCCTGGATGCTACTGTGTATTGCTGGTCTGTGGCTCGGGGAATTTTGATTTCCCTATGCTTCCTTTCTCCTTGGAGGGCTAAACTTCTTCCTAGGATTTCATCCCTGAACATGTTCCACAGCATGAATCTGCAATAGTGTACTGTATCCTCTCAACAAGAGGAATGACTGAGACTATGGTCTATCACAGACGTTACTATTTGGCCCATACTCTGTAGCATAGCCTACAGAGTAGAATGGGAGTATGAGGAAAATTGTTTACAACTTCCCTGGGGCTCTGCAGGGGCACTTCCAAAATCAAATATTAAGTGATGGAGAAAAAAATTGTATTTTACCACCATTTATACTACAATAGTGGTACCATTCGGTTTCCAACTTTTTTGACCCATTTCCCTGTGCAGAGAGGCCAGTGAGGAATCTGACGAAGGAAACAATATTCTGCAGAACTAATGTGGTAAACATGGCATCCTTCCCAATCACGACACCTTCCTGATGGAAACTGCCTGGACTCTGTTTCAGAAGACCAATGTGATCAAAGTTGAATTATCTTGTTATATACAGGTTCTTGCTGTACAGCCAGAGAGAAAACAATCACAACACATGTCAATAATAGCTTCTCCGTTAAGAAGAAGTGTTGATGAAGTATTACTTGAGCATATATTATACCTGTTGACACAGGTATAGCTGGTTTTCCTTCTGAAAATAATGCTTTACCTGAGATCTTCTCAGGAGATTGTAGCCAAATTCTAAATTTAGAGTCCTCCCTACAGCCGATGTGGTTAAGTGCTGCCTTTTTAATTTTGAAATTGTATTTCTGGCTAGGATATGTATCAAGGAGCAGGAACACCATGTTGTCTGGTCTTTTTCTCCCAGTTAGTTGCCACAGTTCTGATTCTGCACCATCTCTTGCCTTTTGAGTGCTGCCAGATTCACAGCACAACTGTTGAGTTTGGCTTTGAGAGAAGAACAGGGGTGAGCAGTGACAGTTAGGAAGCACTAGCTAGTATTCACTTAATATTTTTCAGTTTTATTCAGAGGTCTAATTTTTCAGTCATTTCCACCATGGCTAAGAAAGCACACATCTGAAGCAGCACTGAGTTAACGCAATGCAGTGTGTCTGCAACAGCAAGCTAAAAGTCGTTTAAAAAGAAAACCTTGACGCACCTGGAATTTGAAGTTGACAGCCCCCTTAATTATTCCACTTTTCTCAGACATAAGAACACAATGGAAGTTTTTCTTTTCATGCCTGATCCTAACAATTAATTTTCTAGAAATGCGCTCATCTCCGACTGGCTTGCCAAACAGACCCGAAGCCCTACTACACAAGCAAACTATGGTGGTGTGGGATTACCCTCCTGGGACTTGGCGAAGTGGGCAATTTCACAGCCTACGGATTTGCCCCCATTGCCCTTGTCGCTCCACTGGGATGGGTATCTGTCATAGGTGAGAGTTTTGCCATTTCTTGCTTGGGTATGTACTTTAATCAAACGCTTGTTTGTGACTAGAGGAATAATACCACAGGAACTGCAGCAGGAACACAAGGGGAAAATGTTAATGTTGTGGTTTGAAAAGAAATTATTCATATAATTACATGAGCTGACAGTTTAACACAAACCCTCTGCTTAACTCAGAGACTTCTAATATCTTCCTTTTTCCCATACTTTTGTCTTGTGTGTCAATCTGTGCTCTGCTAGTTCCTGCCAGTTGGTCACCCAGTGCTGTACCAGCGTTGCCGGCTCTGCAAGCCCCCAAAGCAGGGGGCTGGCATCCTGCTGACCACAGAGCTGTACCTACAACACGTTTTCTATGTTACCATCACACCAAGCGCTTTCTGCTGCCTGAGCCCTGCCCATCACTGTGCTTCATGTTGACATGAGCAAACTTGCTTGACTCTCTGCAGTGTGTGACAGAAAGGGCCAAGAAATTTCCTGAGATGTTTAGTTTATTTATGGACATTACCAAAGTTGTTCATTTGTTCCTTCATATGCAGATTAATTGGACTTTAGCACAAGTCCCATCCTTAGGACTCATTTGATATTATCTTACTCTTTATTTCATGTGGGATTTTTTTGTAATTAATTTGTAATTTTGTAATTTTGACCAGTATGAGATGTCTGTTTCTTTGATAAAGAAACATACATTTTAAAATATGTTATCATGTTGTGCTAATGCAAAGCAGAGTGGACAGGGCAATATTGTAGAGGCTGTGAAACCAGGAATACAGGGTGCAGCTGTATCCCTTAATCGAGTCACTTCATATCTACAGCTGAAACACCCAGGACTGAGATATCACAACAGCTCTGCATATGCTGGAGCTCATTCGCTTGCTATTGACAAGTGATAACATTTCATGGGGTGTCTCTAGCTACCGGTTTCATGCTTGGAAATGACATTGCAGTGAGTGATTCTGCATGGGAAGGTAGAAGAAATGAATTATCTTCCCAGTGGATTGCCAGTCTGTAGTGGAAGGAGGCAGCCAACAATATGTTGGTGCAAGATAGTGAGGGAACGAAACTGCAGACAATTTACTGTAACCTTTAATGTTAAACTATTGCAGAATTTTGGAGAATGAGATATAAAGCCATGGTAGTTCACCACTGTAGGAAAGATTTCTCAAAGAAAGGAATGAGCTATTACCTGAGATTAAAATGTAAATTAATATGACATATCCCAGTGTGATTTTGGTGGTAGTAGTTGTATCTTTTACAATTGTAGACATTTCCAGATGTCTCTGAACATAAAGGGACATTGATCAATCTAATTTGCCCAAACTGAATAAATTGCAAATATAAAAAACCAGAAAGAACTGAAAAGCAGTGGGAAGGGAAAAAATTCCATTGGTTATTAAACTGCTACAAAGAAGAGGTCACATTTAGGGTTGATTTTTATTTGGGCAGATTCCTTCTTCTTTACCTTTGCAATATACAAAGAAATGTTATATTTGTTTCCTCCATTCTCCGTTTCCACTTGTAACAAATACCAAGAAACCATTTTCCTAACTGTTATATCTTATCAAAATTCAGATCCACTTCTTTTTTTTTTTTTTTTTTTTTTTTAACTGACCCAAAATATTTACCCTGGAAGACCCCAGAAACCACTTTAATATCTTATATTCCATTCCCATATATCAGCTGACAGTATCCATTTCATAGCCCAAACAATAGAGGTATCTGAAATTTTATTTAGTCTAGCAAACATTCCCTTAAGGAAGGGAAAGTAAAAATTATGTAGACAGCCAATTACAACAATAACTTCCCAGTAACACTTCCTACCACTTAGATACTTTCCTGTCTTCCAAAATTAAAGCCAGAGAAAGAGAACATCCTTTGAATTTTAGAAGAGTTCGTCATTTAGGGCAATGACAAACTGACCAAGACACATGCACATCATCTGCTAACAGTTGGGCAAAGCATAGTTTCAGCAGCAGGTCTTCCAATTTAAAACATCAAGAAATATTTTTCTCATGAAGTTTTGATCTCTTTTAGGTGGTGGAGGGTGGACTTTGCACAGTCTAGTTGGCAGTTGTTTTGAGGTATTGTTGAATGTGTATCTTTCATAAGTTAAGTTTTAAAATGAAGAAATTAAGCAATTGATAACAAAATCCAAATGTGTATCTGAACCCTAAGGCCACCATTCTGTTAAGCATTTTTTTCCAAATTTGGTGACAACACATCTCACATGGTAAGAGCTGACTCACACTGACATTGGGTACCGAGTACCTATGGTGTGCTCAGAGGAAATGTGCTTCGTGGTATGCTCAGTCATCTAGGGGACTCTCTGAAGATCCCCATCACTCTGCGTCTGCATGGAAAGTTTCCTTTGCTTGGAAACCAGGGTTTTGGAGGAGGATAAGGCAGACTGGAGTCTCTGCCCAGAACGGATTTGGGCTGTACCAATCACATATCTCCAGACCTCTGAGACAGGAAGCATCCTGAGTCTTAAAATAGATGGAGCCAACATCTATTATGCTCTGCTACCACATTTAACTGCATCCAACTGAATTTTGCACTTAAGCCGGTATCAATTAACTACTGAAAAGTTTGTGCTTCATCCTATTGAGCTGGGTGCTTCTGATGGCTGTTTCAGAAAGAATCCTGCACCACAGACTATGAATTGGCATGACACCAGTAGATTTTTTTTTCTTAGAATTAAGCTACAAAGACTATATTTTTCTTCTGACACAGTGGAAGTATTTCTGTGTGTGGTTGCAATGATGCAAGCTCTACATCTGTTCAGGGTTTTAAATAGTTTGAGAAGACAGCAGTTGTTTTCTTCAAGAAGAGAAATTGGTAAATTTGTAATTTAAAAATGGAGGAGTAATACATGTTTGATGTGATCATTAAAAAGCTTTTTATACTTAAAAATTAAAAATTATGTTTTACATGTAGCTTGGCTAATTTTAGGCTGCTGTGGTTTTTAGCTCATTGTCTTGCTTTTGCCTGCAGAAATAACCTGGGGGGAGGGAGGGAATCACGCGAGGCCAGCGGTATCAGAGATAATTTCTTCTGCAGTTTTCATCATTCTGTAGAGAGTTGTTTTACACTTAAGTTGCTTAGACTGACATTGTTGAGATCCCTTTGCATTTTTATATGCTCCTTCTAAATAGCTGTGGGGCAAGAAATTGCTATAGGCTTTGAAAATTGATATCCCTGATGGTGCTTTAGGAAAATGATTCTCAAATATTCTCGTAGAAATTTATTTCTCCCACTCACTGTAATCTAACATCTTTGTGGCCCAAGAAATTGGGATTTTGAGAACTCTGTTATTAATGAGAACTGGGAAACATTCACCAGACTAGTCTTTGAAATACTTTTTATGTACTTTTCTAGAGGATGCAACCAAAGGATTTTCAGGGTTCTTCCTTCTCTCTGCAGTGTGTATGTCCTATAATCCAGTTTCCAGAATTAAGCTCGCCTTAATGGTCTCTCTTTTGAGCAATTTCTCTGATATTTGGCTTTCTTGCTTATTAGAATATTGGTATTAAGGATGGAGAAAAATGTTTTGTCCACCACTTTTCCAGTACTAATATTTAATCATATTAGACACATTACATATTCAGTGTGCTGGATAACTATCAAGAGGTCATGCACCAGCTGACTAATTCTGTAATATCTTCCTTTGTATTCAGTGCACCATTAATATCTATCATATAAACTAAGAATAGGTTTGAGTAGTCAATTAGCTGTGATGATTTTGTTCCCAGATGTCTTGGGCTAGCTCTCTGTTTAACTCTGGCTGTGCATACAAGTATTCTTTTAAGTTTCTTCAAATTTGTGTTAATCCTTCCTAACACAGAGCTCTGGCCCTAAAGGAGATCCCACCAGGTCTAAATGTATGCATCCTCCTCCTACCTGAATCTTCTCCCCTGTGGACTCCAAAATGACCCACAGTAGGTCAGCAGACTGGTTTTCCTCAAGCTCCTGCCCTCCCCTTGAGCAAGACAGTACATCTGATATGTAGGCAGGGTAAGATGAAGGAGGTTTTAAGCTAATAGTCTCAGGGCAGGGCATTCTCAGTCATGAATTGTCTATATGCATACTCCACATGGAGACAGTACTACAGGCACTCAAAACCAGCTGTGATTTATCTGTTGGTGCCTGCAGAGTGCACATGGACCTGCTTGCCTTTGTGCTTTGTACATGGACGTTAGGGGCCGTCTGTGCTTCCTGTCCTTCTGTCCCCCCCAGTAGCCCTTTGCATGGGAGAGAGGCATTTTAGTCTGCTCCAAGACTATGAACACAGGTCCTTTGTCCAAACCAGCTCCTTTCCTTCTGAATATGCTTAATAGAAATGCTTGGGCACTTTTAAAATAATTTTTTCACACCATCCTTCAGCTAAACCACATTCCTCTCATGACTGGCAGCCTCATCAGTTCAGCATTTTTCTTGTCCCTCTTGTAGTGTGCAGCCTCTGGATCCCCTGTGGAAATACTGGTACTTGCCCAGGAAGACCTGCTCTCCATACTCTGCCCCCTTAACCTCCTGCTCATTTGAGCTGCAGTGATCAAATGTACTACCTGCCTCATCATCTCTCCAGACCTTCCTGACTATGCGGCAGACTACAATAGCTTGAGCTTGGGGATGGATTAAAGCATCTCCAAGTGCTTCTGTACTGGGATGGCCCTGAATCTCTTCAGCTTGGAAGGTAGACTGAGGGTCTGTCTGTATAAAGCATACTTTAAGGTCACATCCTCATAGCTTAAGCACTGCTCAACAGATTTAGTGCAAAATCAACTCAGTGAGCTTAAACTGCTTCATTAGATAGAGGCAGACCCTTAAGTTGCATAGAACAACATAAATGCTTAGTCTTGAAGTGAAATGTTTTACTTGTTGCACAAACTGGGAGAGGTGCAACCATTAGACAATAGCCTTTGAATCATGGCTAGTATTCCTCCTTTGGTATTTTATCCAGACCACCAGTGAAATGGATACAAAAGTATTCTG